AAGAAGTGGGTTTTTAAACGAGATTTAAAAACAGGCAGAGTTGGAGCAAGTCTAACCTGGAGGGGCAATTCGTTCCATACTTTTGGAGCTGCAACAGCAAAGGCTCTGTCTCCTCGCTGCTTTAGCCTTGATTTTGGGACTACCAGAAGTAATCTGTCAGCCGACCTCAGTGACCGTGTGGGTGTGTATGGTTTTAAAAGATCTGCCAGGTACGGTGGGGCTAAACCGTTTAGGGCTTTGTATGCGAACAGTAACATTTTTAATTGTATTCTAAAACTGACTGGTAGCCAATGTAAAGAGGTGAGTACAGGCGTAATATGTTCACGCCTGCCTGTCCTTGTAAGGAGGCGTGCAGCAGCATTCTGGACCAGCTGTAGGTGTGACAGGGAAGCCTTGCTTACTGCAATGTACAGAGCATTGCAGTAATCCAGTTTAGTGGATATAAAACAATGTATTACTTTCTCAAAGTCATTAAAAGAAAGGAAAGGCTTGACCTTTGCTAAAAGTCTTAGCTGAAAGAAGCTGGATTTGACCACAGAATTGATCTGTTTGTCTAGTTTAAAATCACGATCAATCCGTACACCCAGGTTTGTGACAATGGGTTTCACATATGGGACAAGAGAATCCAGCACAGGCGGGGCATTGGGGCCACCACTGGGTCCAAATATTATCACCTCGGTCTTTTTTTCATTGAATTTTAAAAAGTTCAAGGCCATCCAGGCTCTGATGTCCTGCAGACAGTCAGACAGACGTTGCTGAGGGTTTGGCTCATTTCTTTTCAGGGGCATGTAGATTTGCGAGTCATCTGCATAAAAATGAAATGAAAGTTAAAGCGCTTTATTTTAGCCAATGGGATGGAAATAAGAGTTCGGTATACATAATGTACAAAGTTGGCCTTGGACCTGTACAAATGTTCATGTTTATTTGCCGAGGCTTATGCGTCAAATCATTGACCATGGACCAATCACAACCTCGTATCAAATATTTGTGTGTTTAAGAAATGTCCCTTTTTTAGACTCAGTTGACCTTTTTATTTTTGTAGGAACGTTTACCTATGGCAAAGGGCGCTTGTTTTACTCCTCTGTGAGCTGTGGTTACATGAGCAGGCACTCACATGGCTCGTGCCTTCAGTGAGCTCATCACATCCACCCTTCAGATATTTAGGGTCAGGTGGCTCCAGTCCTACCTCTCCGACAGATCCCACTTCATCTCCCTCAACAACCACTCCTCTGCCACAGCTTCAGTCACCCAAGGTGTTCCCCAAGGTTCAGTACTCGGCCCCCTCCTCTTCATCATCTACATCCTCCCCCTTGGTCAGATTCTACACCACTACAAACTGGACTTTCACTGCTACGCTGATGACACACAGATTTACCTCAGCACCAAATCCCCCCACAACCCCCCCCTCACTCACATCGAATCCTGTCTGACTGCTATAAAATCCTGGATGGCACACAACTTCCTCAAACTCAACAGCAATAAAACTGAACTCCTCCTCATCGGCTCCAAATCCACCCTCAGCAAAACCCCCAACCTGACACTCACCATCGATGGCACCCCTGTTTCCCCCCTCCACCCAGGCACGCAACCTTGGCGTGATATTTGACCCCACCCTTTCCCTCGAGCCCCACATCCGCCAAGTTGTAAAAACCTCATTTTTCCACCTCCGCAATATCGCCAAACTCCGTCCCTCTCTCACCCGCCCTGCAGCTGAGCGACTCATTCACGCCTTCATCTCCTCCCGCCTGGACTATTGCAACGCACTCCTCTACGGCATCAGCACTACATCCCTCAATAGACTTCAGCGTGTCCAGAACGCAGCCGCCAGACTCCTCACCCACACCAAATCATGGCATCATATCACCCCGGTCCTCAAAGAACTTCACTGGCTCCCCGTTTCCCACCGCATCCAACACAAACTCCTGGTACTCACCTACAAAGCCCTCCACCACCTGGCCCCCCCCTACCTCACTGACCTCCTCATCCTCTACCAACCACCCCGGTCCCTCAGATCCACCTCAGCCGGTTTGCTTTCCATCCCCAAGGCCAAACTCCGGAGCTTTGGGGACAGAGCATTCTCTGTGGCAGCCCCGAAGCTCTGGAACTCCCTCCCCCAAGACCTCCGTGAGTCCGAGTCCCTCATCCTGTTCCAGTCCCGCCTCAAAACCCATCTCTTCAAATCTGTATACCCATAAACCCCCCCCCCACCCCCCACTTCCTCCTGACTGCTTTCTGTTTTTATGTTTTTTTTTTCTCTGTTTTGTTTTTGTTTTGTTGTTGTTTTGTTGCCTGTACTTGTCTGTCTACCCTTCCCCAAATGTAAAGCGTCTTTGGGTCTTAGAAAAGCGCTATATCAATAGAATTTATTATTATTATTATTTATTGAAAATGGCTCCAAATCATACATTGAAAAAACTGTGTCTGATCTTTTAAGAAACTTTGAAAAACCTACTTTTCTTTCTTTCTTGTGCTTTAATCTATGTTTTATTAAGTTAAGTTTGATTTACTATCTGTGTTTTATTATATTTTAGTTCATTTTATTTTTGGGTTTTCTTTAGTTTTTGATTCTAAATTAATGAATTGTCTTGGAGCATGAATGTCTGTGCCAAATCCACAGCATCATAGCGATGTAACCAACAGTTGTCAAGGTGTTGCCCTAAACAAAGCATCAGACGGAGGCCTGAGGCTGGATGCAGAAACCAATTGACATTGCGTATCCTAGCCTTACCTACCTAATGGTTCATTTATTGCCTTTAATACTGTCATCTCATTGAGAATCCTACACAGCACATGTTACTGTCATAAAAATGTTTTGAGGAAAGAAGAACTTTGAAATGTAATGGACCCGACAATGGAGAGACTTTTACACAGACAGCCTTTTGGGGGAACCCAAACACACCACGACATCCGGCATATGTCAGAGGTCGTTCATTGACCTCACCACTGTACAAATGAGTTAGCATCTCCAACTCGCACATACACACATTTGTGTGCATAGTCCATTGGTCCTTTTTCATTCACTGAATGGTTCTGATAGTAGATAGTAGAAAGTAGATAGTAGATATGTATAGTCATTCACTGGTATTATAAACATATTACTAAAATGTGTGTGTGGATAGACATTAACTGGATTCTGTTATCAAAGGTTAAAGGTTTCAGTAGGTAATATTGGGAATACAAACTATCTTCTCATACATTGCATAAAGGTACCTTGTTATCACGCTAAACAGACCTGTTTATAATAAGAATACTTTCTTGCCATAAAGAGAAAAGGTTAGTTTGGGGAAACACATCAATACATAGACACATGTGTTTCACTCAAGGAAAGTTTTAGTGATGACGAGAGGCTCAGACACAACGTGACTGCTGCACGGTCTGGAACATAGTGTTGTTGGGCAGATGGTCTCGTGTTGTCATATTCAGACTGACCTGCAGAGTAACAGGGTGATTGTTACAGTCGTGCATGCCCACGGCTTAAAATCCTCACAGACGATGGCCTTTCACTCCATTTCCACGACGCAAGCTTCGTCTGTGAGGATTGACCGCAAACTGAACCTTCCTCATTGTTTTAATCATCGGGTTTCTTTAGAAAGTTGGTCCCCTCATAGTCCAATCAGCAATATCATGTATGCATTGATAAAGTTGAACAAAATATGGATTTCTAACTATTTATTAATATAGGAAAAATATTTGTGATTACAAATTAAGAATGAAATAATTTGATGCAAATCCCTAACCCTAACCCACCATGACAACTCTAAAGACACATTATATACATTTGACTGCATTATTTTAATTAATACAAATTAATTCAGATTCTCCTTTTTCTGGGAAATTGAAAAGTTTGAATTTGGTTTTTATCTTTCAGAAACAAAACTGTGTTGAATCCTTTAACAAAATAAACTCTGCAACAATTTAAAAGAAAAGAGAAACATTGGTCAGCCTTGAGGTACTGGTTTATTGGGATAAATCATTACACTACTATTTATGTCCTTGTTTAACATTTTCACCACATAAATATTGTCAAAGTAATGTAAGGTATCAACCCATATAGAAGTGAGTGTTTGACTGTACACGGAAGTCAAAGAAGAGTGTTTGACTGTACAAAGAAGTCGTGAAATACAATGACTGCCTGTCACTCCACATACTCATTTTCATTTTAATTCATTTCTTACTTCATAGTTTATATGACCCAATATGTATATATGCTCATTTTTTTAAAATTCATTTCTTATTTCATAGTTTTCCATCATTTTTATTTGTATCTTTCATTTTATCTGTCATTTTATTAATCTGTGTGAATCTGTGCTGTCCTGTTTTTCATCCTTACCCTGTTGCTGTCTGAACTACTGAATTTCTCCACAGGGATTAATAAAGGTCAATCTTATTTTATCTTATCTTACTCAAAATAATCAGATGAATCTAAAATGTTTATTGTATTTTTTACTGATGTGTGAATTAGCTAAATATGCAAATGAAAATAATGTAGAATCCATTTTAAATGTATGATTGGTCTCAAGTTATCATTGGATAGAGAATTAGTTTGATTTAGGTATTAAAGTAATGAATCCCTGGATCATTGTTGTTGTCATTTAATACATTTACATACGTGTGGGCTTCAATAAATAATATATAAAAATAGAATTTGGAATATAAACAATAATTCACAGGAGATTTTCTAGTGTTCTTTTCGGTTCATATGTTTTAAGACTGATGTGTTGACGTGTAGACTGTGACGTATCTCAGACTCTCTTTGTCCACGTTAGCCAATGAGAGCTTGTTTTCTTCCTCAGCGTGCCCCGTAGATACATTGTGACTGAGACAAACTCATGTTTCAGTAGACGGAAGTAACAAGACACGTGTATCACATTTTCTTTATTTAAGAGCACACGAGGATTACAAAAAAACCCTGGGTTTATCGGGTTTGTAGTGCCACGTAACACCGTCTGACACTATGACCGCCCGGTTAACAAACGGTCACAAAGAGGAAACGAACGCCCCCTCCTGTACCCAACTGAACTGGCAGTCTGTTGACGACACCAGAGAGAAAAGATGGCGGCGCCCACAACAACAGTGCAAACCATGAACTCACTGACAGACACTTTGTTAAAGCCCGTTTACGCAAACAGCCAAGGTATGGATTCTGTTTCAGCAGATTCGGGCACACTGCAGGACTATTTATTGGATTTCATGGAAAAAGAAGTCGGTAGTGACCTGAAGTCCCTGAAAAATGTTGGCCACTTGCTGGAGAAACTGAGAGAGGAAAACAGCGTCCTGGAGGAACAGGTGTGTTTTAGGATGAAGACACCAACACGTCCTTGTTTGTAAAGCCAATTACATTTACACGCTTATTTTGCAGCTGACATGCATGTCCATTCATGTAGACATAAGCAGTGAGTGTACTTTGTGTCCTGCAGGTCCTGACAGACGCCAGCTCGGTGCCTCCTAAAGTGTCTGCAGCTCTGTCTGCTGCTGAGGAGGCCAGCTGTTCTGTGGAGGATTTACTGCAGAGAGAGGCACTTATCTCCAAAAGACTGCACCAGGTAGGGCATTTTATTTTTGCAAAAGCTGTCAGTTCCATGGGATGTTAAACCTGGCTGTGGGCAGAATCTTAAATGGTGCCATTCTTGAAAGGTATAACCATGTGTACTTTACTCCATCTTCTAGCACCTACAGGATGCCCAGCCTTGGATGGATACACTTGACCAAACGCTACACAAAGTCAACACAATAGAGAGACATGTGAAATACCTACGATGCCTCCAACATATAGAGGAACTCAGGTAATGTGAGCAAGCCTGAGCCGAGGACGATACAGATTCTTTTCTCAAAGATAAAAGATTTATGACTTTATAGAAAGAGGAGTAGATGGACAACATAATGGAAAGAATAAACAACCCTAAAAGGTTAAGTATTGAGGGTGTAAGGTATTAAATATACTTGCATGAGTTCCAATTTGGGATATGCACAGTTAGTCAAATCTATAATTTTCTGAAATAATGCTATAATTGAACACTCTATTAGACTTTTGACATCCAAGTATTTATTTTGGAATACAAGCTGATATCCCTGTGTGTGTTGTGGGCTGACGCAGCAGTGTGTGTGTGTGTGTGTGTGTGTGTGCAGCGCTGCAGTCCAGCAGTGTCTGATGACCAGCAGTGTGTGGGAGGCCATCCGGGCGGTGGACAGCATGGCGGCTCTGGACGCTGGACTGAACCAGTCGGGATGCTCTCACCTGCAGGGCTTCCTCCAAGAGACACTCCACTTCTGGCACAAGATCATCAAAGACCGACTGACCACGTAAACCTAGCCCCCCCCCCCCTTTGTGTCTAAAAGTTCAGAATCAGAAGACTTTATTTATCCTAGAGGAATTTGGGTTTTCTTAATAGTTGCTTCATTTTAAAATGAGATAAATAAAATCTCATTTTTGTTTCTTGTAACAAAATACAAGAAAAAGTGTTAACATAAAAAGTTAAATGTCCACTTCAAAATGATATTAAAAAAAAGTATATAAGCTTTTAAGTTAAAGTAAAAATGTACACTATACACTACAATATATAACATTATATTGCACAATATACATTGTTTTTTGACGATTTTAAGATATAATTGCTGAATTGCGAGAGAGTATAAAGATAACATAATCTTGTTTTTAATGCATCCTCCTCTTCTTTCCTTCCTAGTGATTTTGAGAAAGTCTTAACTCAGCTTCATTGGCCGTTCATCGCCCCCCCCATCCAGACCCTGACTCCCACTGCCAACGGTCAGGAGATCAGCAGCCAGCTGGAGCTGCTCGTCTCCCAGCTGTTCGCCCTGCAGAACTCGTATCCTTCTGCTGTTCTGTACACAGCTCCATTATATTCATAAAAACCCTGTTCATATACACCTCCATTGCATCGGCTAATTAGCATTAGCAGGAGGAAGCGTCCCTTGGGTAACAGACTTCTAGAAGTATTTGTCCAAGGATGTCTTTTGTATCTTGCCAAATAATCCAATTCCAAGTACCTTGATGTTTTTGAAGAAGATTAGCTGCAAAAAATGGCATAACATATTTCGCTCTTTGCTCCAATCTGAGCCTTTTTGAGTGTACAAGCTAACATTTCACTTGTTGACATTCATGAGAATGCATTAATGGAACCCCCAACCGCACTTTGTCATGCCACGCTCATTATGTGATGTTTGATATGTGAAAATATACTTTTACCCTGTAGAGTTTTACCCCTCCTGATGCGACGGATTGCGACTATGTATTTTTTTTTATAGATTTGCTGCATAAATAAATGTGACATGAATATGTATACATTAGCACACAGTGGCATACAACATTACAAAACAAACCCTTCAACTGTTTCAGTGTTTAAAAAGGGAAGTGGTAAGTGAAATAAAATGCAGGCAGGGATGGATGGGGTATGGATTATACTGTGTTGTATAAAAAAAGGTGTGACCAATTAATGTGCTATCATTGTAAAAGTCAATCTGTCGCTCTATTTGACATACACACATTTTCCATTTTCCAGTATATAAAGCTCAGCATGTCATTAGTGTGTTAATGAACTAATTCACAACACTGGTTATTAATAAGAAAGGAATGCCATGTAACCTGTTCCCAAAGAGGAAGTGATGTGTGTGCTCCATGGTTTGATTCCTTTAACTCCCCCTGGCAGTGATGATCTCATTTCCCAGAGGGCTTTGGCCTCTTGCCAGGGTGTCCCCGCGATCCAGCCTGCTTCTTCAGCCCCCCCTCCGTCCCAGGCCCCCCCCCTCTGTCTGCCCATCCAGATCATGCTGCTGCCGCTCAGCAAGAGGTTCAGATACCACTTCTACGGCAACCGACAGACCAACACCCTCAGCAAGGTCTCCCAACACACAACACAACACCAGCCTTTGCGTTACAGACCTCTCTAAACTAAAGTCAAGTTTTTACGCAACTCAAATGACATTTCAGTGTAAGCATTTCATCCTAGAAAGGTTAGATACAGAAACGTACTGTTTATTGTTCATACATGTATTGTAGTAATAACCAAATGCTACTGCTGTTTTTATAGCAAACACATAATAGCCTTGTTCATCATTTCGGACATTTTGGGCTTTTTTATTTAAACATTTTTGGATGTGCTATTTAAAATACATTTTGGAGAAGGTGTCAAGTTTTGGGATTTGATACTAGGCTCCTGTGATAAGTCTATTATAAACCGTCTAGTCAAAATACAGACCCTATTTTCAAACATTTCCCTAATGAACCCATTTAAACCCTACAGAAACCATTTTGGTCCCTACAGGAAAAAAAAGTACAACATTCTCATCAGCCAGAACATTTGAAGTCTCCTTTACAACACCCATAACACTCCTCCTTTGTCTGTGTGTTTTCCAGCCAGAGTGGTACCTCACTCAGGTTCTGATGTGGATCGGGAACAGCAAAACCTTCATGGAGGAACGGATCCAACCTATCCTGGACCGAGCCGGAGCCACAACCAGTGCCATGGTACGCTGTTCTCAGACATGCTACGTTGGTTAAGTGAGTTCTTCATCAGTCACTGTAATGGCTGTCTGTGTGCAGGTGGAGCTGTGTCGGGGCCTCCTCTCTCTGGTCCAGGAGAAGGTGGCCAGCGATGCTTCCCGGCTGCTGTACGATGACGCGCTCTTCTGCCACCTGGTGGAGGAGGTGCTGCAGTTTGAGAAGGAGCTGAGAGGAAACCACTCGTTCCCCGCCGTGCTGCCCGGCCTGCTGCACCTCCTGCTGGAAGACGCCATCCTGCAGAAGTGGCTCACTGTGGAGAAGAAGAGTACGTTTAGTGCTAATTACCCTTAGCTTATCAATTACTTAGCCGGCATTACCTTGTTTCTCTTGCATGCCTTCACATTGAAGCCTTCACTGTCTCTGTAAGTTTGTTTGTTACAGTGAAAGCACGTTATAACTCTGAGCTCCTGTGTGCAGTGGCGGTGGAGAAGATGGACGCCATGCTGTCGTCAGAGGGAGCGTGGAGCTCTCAGTACAAAGACATCAGTGATATGGACGAGCTGAAGGCTCCCGACTGTGCAGAGACCTTCATGACCCTTCTGCAGGTCATCACTGGTAAGACTACATGTTAAAGCTTTTTTAAGTGGCTGGCAGTTGAATATTTTCATTGGAAAAGCATTTAAGCTATTCATGAAACTCAGCAGGTGCTTGTTTTTAAAGAAAAAGTTAAGTTTAGCTTTTGGAAAGGAGGAATATCAATAATAGAATAATGTGAAATGACAAATGTCCAATCTGGAGTCGCTGCAGAGCTTAAAATGGCTTTGTAATTGAACACAGAATGACTGGCCTAACACAGTTTAACTAAGGATCAGGGCACATGCTAAACTAGTTAAACAAATTCATCCCACCATGACCTTTGAGTAGGTAATATTTACAGCTGAAGAGTCAGTAACAGGTTGGTAACACCCATAATACTCAGCTTTTCAAGTGTTGTTGCTCAGTACCGACATGCTAGTAATGTGTTTTGTAAGAACATTTAAAGGATTGATAGTAAAAGCCTTAGTTTTGTCCCCCTCTGTCCTCAGAGCGGTACCGCTCCCTGCCCTGTCCTTCTGCACAGCTCAAGTTTCTGGGGCTCCAGAGAGAGCTGGTGGACGACTTCCGCATACGACTCACACAGGTAATGATGACCGAGAGACGAGGGTGTTAATGGAGGAACAGCCCAAGTGTTGAAAGAAAAATAAAAAAGTTATAGTATGTATGACACCTGGGCTTAAATAAGAAATATTTATTTTAAGAGTTAATTAGGACAAAAAGAGTTTCCCAGCTTGTTTCTGCCATGTGACAGTAATACTGACCATTTTGTCTGCTGGTAAATGTAACCTAAAGTAGGTTAAGTATTGTCAGATGGAAAAGTAATACATTTTTTAACCACCTATAATGTTGTGTCATGGTGTTGTCTCCGATGTCATGTTTGTTTTGTATGTATGTATTACATATATGTTTTGTTAAGAGTAATGGCTGAGAGAGAAATAGATGGTTGATGGAATTATTGTCTCTTCTTCCCAGGTGATGAAGGAGGAGTCCCGCTGCCCTCTGGGGGCTCGATACTGTGCCATCCTTAACGCTGTGAACTACATTTCCACCATCTTGGGAGACTGGGGAGACAACGTGGTGAGTGGACCTAATAAAACGTTTATTTTATTTAGGCTAATTTGCCGTAGGAAGTGTGTCAATAATGCATCTGTACCCAAATCCATTTTTTTCATTTGAAAGCTAATTCACTCCAGAAAAAGTCATCTCCAGGCACCAAGTCCTGACCTACATTCTCTTTTAAAACATAACACAAACATTTGGATGCCATTTCTCACGGAAAACTTAACGGGATTAAATGTCAAATGTTCTTTACTCCTTATATTTTTCTTACTCAAAATCTTGCTTTCAAAAGAACAACTCTCCATTATATTATCTAATGCTCTGTGCTGTTATTGTTGACCTTCAGACCATCACAATATTTAATAGGTTATTATTTATTTTCGAATCAAATGGCCTCTCCAAATGATACGGCACCTTGCCCAATTAAAAGAAAGAAACACTTTTCACTTCTTATATATTTATGTTTTCACTCTTTCTCCAGTTCTTCCTGCAGCTGCAGCAGGCGGCGGTGTCCCTCGGGGAGGAGGGGGTCCTGGGGGGTCTGGGGGTGTTGGAGGTGGGTCGCCTGGCCTCTCTGGAGGGCTCTCTGTTCGAGGGTCTGCTGGCGCTGCTGGACCGGCTGAAAGGAGACATGATGGGCAGACTGCTGGAGTGGACCATGAGGGAGATCACAGAGAAGGTCCGCCCGTACGGACAGGACCGGTGAGAGCCAGAGACCCTAATTTAATGCTTCACCATCAGGGTGGGATGGATGGTGCGGGGGGGGGGAGGATAGTTTATTGACCTGTAGTCCACCACGTTAGAGACATGGTTCTGGAAAAAGCTTAATTCCAGCTTTTGTCTGGGGCGGATTGTCTCTCCATCCCTCCATCTTTGTATATTGTATTATACGATCTGCATCACACTCAGATCAGGTTGAGACTCTGGGAGTGCAATTTATTTGAATATATGGTAATATTGTTTTCCGCCCAATCACACCATCAGAAATCCTGATTCCTTTATTCTTCCCTCAGAGGGGACATTTACTGTCACAGCAAAAGATGGAGAGAAACACTATTAGATGCATGCACTTAAGAGTTACAATTTAAAGTTAATACAATTTACAAAGTACACATTCAGGTAGGAGAAGTAGCAGCAGAGGTATTTATATAATGAATTAAGTGTAACATGCAGAATGTAGTGTGGGAGAAGCTAGATAACAGAGGTACAATTATACTTACTTACATTATTATTGTTACAGTATTACAATTGTTAAACTAAGAAGGCAGCCAGTAATAATAATAATAATTTTAACTAGGTACAGGAGTTCTAGTAAATGTGTAAATGTGTGATTAAAACTATTTAATTTAAGTGAAGAAGTGACTCTCTTGGCCTCAGGGTTTAGTAGTCTGTTGCTGCCCTCTGGTGGACTCCTCTGGTACTACTGAACATGTTCACCTGGCCATCTACAAAGGACAGCATCCGTCCGTTGAATTGTTTTAACGGAGCATTCTCCCATCACTTTTATTTCTTTAGAAAGTGTATTTGTTCTCAAACCCTGTTGACACCTCTCATGTTTGTCACCTGATTTCTCCTTTGCTTCTTTCATCATTTCTTCTCACATGTCTATTGCATGTAACCAGATGTTGATACAGGGCACTTGTTGTAAATGTGCAGTCATTATTTGAATAGATTTTTAACAATTTATGGTGTGTCTTTTGTCATGTTATGTCTTTTAGAAATTAAAATGAATTGAGTTGATTTGAGATTTAAGAACTAGGCTTAGCCCAGATGCTTACTGCTGAAAACAAAGACCTTGAAGGGAAATAAGGAGATAAACATTCTGAAATGTATTCTCCCCCGGTCTTCTCTCCAGGTGGTTGTCCCTGCCGCCCCAGCAGGACCAGTCCACCATGACCCTGTCCAGCTCGGCCTGTCCCATGATGCTTTGCGTGAGGGACCGGCTGTTGAACCTCCATCAGGTCCTGAGTTTCTCTCTGTTCCAGCTGGCCTGGCAGGGCCTGGCGGAGCGGCTGGACAAAGTTCTCTACCAGGAAGTAAGAGACGTGTTTACTCTCCAACCCACCCACAAAAAAACCCATTGTTAATCTCTTTAACAAGAGCCCTAATGTGAACCCTGTCTGCTTCTGTTGTTGTGTTTGTTGCTTTATAACCGCCAACGTGGTTTCCTCTCCATGCCATCATAATATATATCTGTCTGTCTGTCAGGTGGTGCTGTCTAATCACTTCAGTGAAGGGGGGGCCGCTCAGCTTCAGTTCGACATGACCAGAAACCTATTTCCTCTGTTTGGCCACTACTGCAAAAGACCTGAGAACTTCTTTAAGCAGTAAGTGTGTGTAGTATGTGTGTGTTGAAGAGTTCTGTGTTTCCTTTCATCACAGTTTAAGAAATGTATGTGCTAACGTAATATAGTTTAAAGCCAGCGGTGGGACAGGAACTTCATCTGGTCTCTCAGTTAAATTATTTAATGGCTTGACGTGACATTATTCGTATCGGCAAAGCTTGTTTAAATGATGAAAAGTGAATTACATTGCAGTACCATCACCAAAAGATGTGCACAAAACCAATGGAAATAAAAGCACTGGTAACATTCCCCCCAACATTCCTCCCCCCCCCACAGTGTCAAGGAGGCGTGCATCCTGCTGAGTCTCAGTGTGGGCTCTGCCATCCTGCTGAGGAACCTCCTGAAGGAGTCGATGGAGGAGGAGGCTGCAGGGGACCCTCCCCCAGAGTTGGCCCTCAATGAGCTGGGGGTCTACTGTTTGGCCCCTTGTGATGTTTTAATCCTCCTCAACCTCAGAGCCTCCTGGCCCGGACAGTAACAACCCCCCCGCCCCACCCGGCAATATTTGCTTGGCTAATCCTTCTAATGAAATTATCCTTTGTAAAGAAGACAGGAAATATTACTGTTCAGATAATAAGTTAATACTATACTGTTAATACTAAAGACATTGTAAGAGTTTATTTGTGTTGCACTATTCCTTGGGGACCCACATGTCTCCTGTAACCTCAGTATAAAAGTATACCACCACAACAAAGTAAACATAACAATAGTTATCTGTTCAAATGAATTGCTTAATAAACCCTCCTGAGCTGCACATCTCTGTCAATGGTCTCACTTTACTCTCAGAGAATTGTCATCTTCCCAGAATGCTCTGTTTCTGCCAGGATTGTTGCTACGTCTTATCTGTGGGGCTCCCCCCCCTCTCTATCCCTCCCCCCCCCCTCTCTATCCCTCCCCCCCCTCTCTATCCCTCCCCTCTATCTCTATCCCTCCCCTCTATCCCTCGTCTCTGTGAGCATGGAGACAGTAAACAGCTGTGTCCACTCCAGCTTTGGAGAAGTTTCTCCTCTCGTTGCTGCTGTTGATAGGATTTTTATTTTAGGACTTTGAGTGTATATCATTTTTTTCTGTGTAAGACCTAAATACTATGTTGTTTCTTCTGAAATATTTAACATACTTTACTTGTTTTTTTCCCCATATTTTTCGGGATACTACTAGGTCTTATTTCGACATATTATGCAGTTTTTTGCATTTTTCCAACATAGTATACTGTTGTTTTTATTCATATTTCTCGACATACTATACTATTTTTTGACATACTATACCATGTTTTTATGCATTTTTTCAAAACGACATAGTATGTTGAAAAAATAAGAAAACTACGTAATACAATATGTAGAAATTATCAGAAAAACAATATAGTGTAGCTTTTGTAAAAACGATATAGTATGTCAAAAATATCAGAAAAGCAACAGTAAATAATAACTAGACTTTACAGTTTAAGCTTAAAATAAAAAATACTTTTATATAAATGTTAAATTGAATCCAGAAATTGTCATTGATTATTTTCCGCCCACTATCTAACATTTTAAATAATGGAACGTTTTTTCGACATACATACACACAAACACAGACACCTTTAACACACCGTGTGTTTTTATTGAAATAGGCATAATAAATATCAGAACAAAGAAGTCAGTCCGACACATCTATTTGTCCGGTGGCATTCTGGCCATGAGCAGTCACTGCTTTGGGTAGCCTTTATATCGGGGTCAATACCACGATGTGTTCACCGTTCTAATAAAAGTTTGCAGTAGGAGGAATCCCAATCGTCCACAACAATTCATCCCATCAGAAATGTTCCCTGTAGCCGCGTGTAGCAAAGAGTTCGTACACAAACTGATCTGGGACCAGACAGAGGAATCTGTTATTGCTAGTTATGTGCTTTGCAGCGGAGCGTAGTCCTGCAGGCGAGGCATTAGAGGTACACAGCAGGAGAACACGGGGTTAAAACATGATCAAATCTCATCAAGGGGAAACATTTACAGCTTCAACGTTTCCAGTTATTCCACAGGCTTTGTCAACCTTAAATTCCAGTGCTTCTGTCAGCCTTCTATGAATTAAAGTTGAATGAATAAATACATGAAATCATGACATTAACAAAAACATGTTGTGGGTCCTTCACAGGCTCAATACTGGAGAGAGGGAAAGACACTGGGGCTGCAAAGACTTCCAGTTTCTGTCCTCTCAATACTCATGGTCCATCTAAAATTCATAAGAGTCACAATAAATACAGCTTAGTCTACTTGTCATCATGCACTAATGACAATATTTACACCATTTCTCAGAAAGGATTCATTCAGACGGCGGTAAGAGGGGCACATAACTCATGCAGCAAAATTACGGGGAAATAAAATGCATTTTAAGAAAAATAGTTTATAGAGTTTCTACCAATCAATAGGTTGGAAGAGGAGCGGGGAATTCAAATGATTAAAATCCTAAATGAAACATAAGATTCTGTCTCTCCATTTTATATCGAACAGGGGTCATGTTGCATTCAATTCATATGGGAATCAAACGTTTAAAGCACTGATATCAAATACATTTCGTATATGGTAAAACACAATTAAAGGATAAGGCTAATGTTTTGTTAAATATATTGTCATGAAAAGACCTGATCCAATAACAAAAATAATGTCCTATTAAATGCACTGTGCTGTGAACCAACTGGGAATTCATCCACCACTGAAAATAGTCCCCACTGTTTTAGTTTGTGCACAGGGACGAGCTGTTTCAGAACAATAAAGAGCCTTTAAACAAGGAAACTATATATTTAAAATCTATGTCTATAAAATAAGACAGGCAATTCAAGTTAAAAAGTATTGAGAAAGCTGCTAACACTTAATTGGTTTTGGTCTTTTCATGACATTTGTTGACAATAAAAAACATCAGCTTTAACATTACATTTAAAAAAAAAAGCTCAGACCTACTCTAAACATGTTTCAGAGGTAGACCCAAGTCTAAGTGGCTGATTCCCCTTGTACTCTATTCCAGTGATTACTACATTCAGTTAGAATAAGTAACATTTTGCTTCAGTTCATTCTTGACCGTGGGAATATAAGTATGACAAAATAATCTGAACACATGTCCCCTTACTAGCTTTAGCCAGATGTTTTAACTACAAAGTTCTCTACTTAATCCATGCGATGAAAACCAAGCAAATACAAAATAAGCTGGGGAAAAAAATCTAGTAAGAGGACCTTGAGTTAAATTATTTAGTTGAACCTTTTAGTTGTTGAAGTGGAGGTATTGGCAAACTGTTAAAAATGATAAATGAATGTGTGAGGTTCACACACATAGACACACACACACCATCGATCACTTCTTAAACATCAAGTTGGATGTTATACAAACCAAAGCAGGGTAAACACACACACCGGAGATCACACACACACACACACACACACACACACACACACACACACACACACACACACACACACACACACACACACACACACACACACACACACACACACACACACACACACACACACACACACACACACACACACACACACACACACACACACACACACACACACACACACACACACACACACACACACACACACACACACACACACACACACACACACACACACACACACACACACACACACACACACACCATTTAAAACAGCCAGGTCGATGCCTGTACTTGAGTAGGAATGTCCATGTAGCCACAGGTTAGCTCCTGACTCATCACTGAGATCAGCGCTTGTGTTCATCCGCTAGTTTAAAGCTGAGAAAATGCCCAACACGAGTCCAGAGGATAAAAATAAAGAGAGGCATGAAGAGCCGTCAGGAAACAGTGTCTCTTGTTTCCACATCTCAAAAGGCATGCTCGCTAATGCTACCGCTAACTAGCCGCAGGCGAGGAAGGAGAATACATCAGTTTATCTAGTTGTATCTACTGAGGGCAAGCTAGGCTACATAGCTAGCACACAGGGACACATCTGCTACTCTGCTAAGAACATTTTGAAGAAAACACCAGCAAACTTTCAACCAGTGTATATTCTGCTCAACAAATGTCCTGTTGTATCCCTCCAAGCAGCCACTGCTTCAGTTCATTTCAGTGCAATGTAAAGTGTTTAGGGATAACACATGGTTGGTAAGGGTCTTGCTGGATTAAAAGCACGTTTTATGTTGCTTAAAAAGGACTTTCTTGAACCTGAAGTGTCCAATTGTGGTATCTAATTGGACACTAGATAAACACGATTAAGCACTGGTGGGGTAATAATACTGTATCCAAGCTTATGGTTGACCCAAAGACTTACTTCTCTGTTGCTTTGGTAACCAAACCTTTCATTTCCGTCACTCACTTCCTACTTCCCTGTTCATCCCAGAGCCAAAAGGGTAAGAGTGGGAGGGTGGGAGAAGCTGGTGGAGGAGAGGGGAGTTTTAGAGGAGAACGTAGGGGGTCTCCGGGGCTAAAGGGCGATGCCTTTGACGATGGAGGCCTCCAGGGTGATGGGGAAGTCGTGCAGCGTCTCCAGGACGTCGATGTGGGAGCTGACCGTGGCTCGGTCTCTGAGCAGGGCCGAGTCCTCGTACATCCTCTGGATCACCGGGCACTCCACCAGCAGGGGGACCCACTGGGGCAGCAGGCGGTCTCTGAGGGACAGACAGTGGAGAGGACGTTTACACATCTGTGGCAGGACAGCTGGATTTATTGACCCTCAGTAGAGTGTCTGTCATCTGATACCAGGACTAGCTAAGGTAAACATCTGTTCAAATAGGGTCTGTTTATTCAAGACCTCTACCTTAATAAAAACATTTTAGGACTGTTTTACAAAGAATCTGCTTTAAAGGCCGTGAAACCAATCCGTCTAGTATGTTTTCATATGCTCAAAATCGGATTTACGTTGCACATACAGTGCCACACACATCATTTGAAGTTTTGGAAAACAAAGTTATGTAATACTAAATGTTTGTGATCATTTTTCCCATGGGTCTTTTAAATCCTTGAAAGTTTGTGATTTTGAAAAACAAACATACTAAAGGTCTTGAAGGTATTTCTGAAAATAGACAGAAACACACACGAGTCATTTAAAGAGCTTGAACTCATATGTTTTGGAAAAGAATATCAATTGTATTTTAAATATTCTTTTTGACCTTAGTGTGGTGCAATATTTGAGCCATGACCGGTCCTTGCATTTGAAAGAATGTGGTACTTGAAAAGTCACTTAATTTGTTTTTTAAGAAGATGCGATGAACATACATTTGAATTTAAATTTTCCATGAAAGAAAAGTAACAAAAATGCTGTCAATTATATTTAAAGATTGTAGCCAGCAGGTCAAACTTCCTCAAGTTCCCAACAACTACCAGAGCATTGCTTTGTCTGTAAAATACCTATTTCTTCCATCCCATGCTTGTTGTGAACACTCAATACCTCACAGAGGTGGACAGACTGACCTGGCTCCGAGGCAGACCAGCAGCTGGAACTTCCCGTCCTTCCCGATGTTCCTGCGGGTGGAGTTGATGGCGTTGACGTAGTGACAGAGTGATTGACAGGTCCGTCCCAGGGGCTCCGCTGTCTCCTGGAGGTCTCCCATCTGGTCAGCTGACTCCATGTAGGCAATGGCTTTCTCTGCAGAGGAGGGGGGGGGGGCTCATGTTTAGTTTTCACACTGCTTTACCAGATAAATAAACTGTTAAATCACACAGCATGCACAACTTAAATACAATTCTCTTGGCAACATTGTCAAATAATAATGTAATAAATATGTAAAAATAAATAAATATGTACAGGATGGAGCTTCATATGCATTATCCTAAACTGGCTTCATAAATAAAGTTGAATTAAAAAACAAAAGAAGTGACAAAGTATAATTCCTGACATTATTTCCCCATAAATCCTCTGAAAAGGGCCACATTAAGTAGTGTATCGTATGATCAGCAGGTGGCGCTGTCCCTCCACACTCACCCACAAAGTCCCACACAAACACGGTCTTCTGGAAGAGCCGGGCGGACTTGAAGCCGTGACGGAAGAACTGTTCCAGAGCGGACACCAGGCTGCTCTCCCCACACAGCAGCACGGTCAGGCTGCCTCTCTGAGAGAAGCACACATCAGCTGTTCAGAAATAATCTCTACTTCCAAAATGGTATTTAAAATAAAGCTGGGTCTACAGCTGGGTGTTGCTCTCTGCAGGACACGCAGTGAGAGGACGTTTGAAGTGCCAATTTTGTTAGATCTGTATTCATAAAAGGCTTATTGTTCATGTTGTTTTCTATGAAATATTGAGGTTTGAAGCTGCCGACTAGCTGCGAGTAGATTTTCAATGACAGAGGAGTCCTCTCTTCCACTGCTGGTTAGCGCTCACATGCTTTGTACATTTTCAGGAGCTTTTCCAAACTTAAACGGCTACTTAAACGGTAGATGTCACAAATCTTTACGTAGTCCTGAAGGATTTATGTGTTGCAGTGTTAAAGTTCAGAAGGGATAATTGTGGATGAGAAGCCTCTGACTACTCTCACAGGGCACTTCAAATGTTTTCTCTGCTGTGGCGTCACAGTAGGTCTGCATGTGACCGGCACTTTACTGATGTTTACATTATGAGCAGTCAGTGGACAGAAACAATGAGAATGACTGCACTCAGTTTAAATATGTGAAGGGTTCAGAGAGAGGGCAGCAGCTGTCGAAGCATGAGTTCTTTCAGTAGTGATAAGGAGATCCTCACCTCTTTCTCCGGCTTGTGGAAGTGTTTGATGATGTTGTTCACGGCCTCCCCGATGGCCTCTTGGATCTGGGCTGAAGTCGGTTCTGGAGAAAAGAAAGGAATTAATATAAAAGACTTCAACATCCCAGAATTCATATTTGACTGTTCAAGAGTACTGACTGTATCCTCGTGCAGACAGCGACGTGACACTGATGCGTCGGATCTGGGATGGCGAGCGCTGCAGCGGGGGTGTGTAGCAGCCTCTCCCAGAATCCTCCTCTCCGCTGGGCAGCACCGGCTCCCCGATCAGGACCCTCTCCAGGCTGCCGTCGTCCACACCCTTACCGAGCCACCGACCGCACGGGAACCTGAGGGGGAGGGAGGAAGTTGTGAGAAAATATGTAATATATAACTATTATACAACTATTAAAACAAACCATTAGAAAACTTAAACATAAGAAGAAAAGTTTGAAAGAAATCTAAATGTATAAAAAAAAGTTACTACAATTAAAATATGATAGATTACTGAATTTGTTTTAATAAAAGCAAGGATGTGCATTATTTTAAGACTTACAAAATACAAAAGCCTCAAACAGGGTTAAAGGTTTCTGGAGATAAAAATGGATATTTAAAAAAGAAAAAAACCTTTCTCGTACTGATGTTGGACTTGATGTATTCTCACTTCTTTTTATTAGAAAATATAGTTCTGAAGAGTTTATAATGTTTGATTATTTGGCGACTACACATCCATTAGGAATCTAGTGTTGCTGTTAACAGGCACACAAAGCAGCGAACCATGCATTTAAAGGAATGGTCATACTTTTTCTTCTAGATCTTTAATCCACATCTCTTTTTCAATTGTCGATGAGACGACAGGATTAAAAGCTCCATTAATACTTTTTTTGTAAGACAGGAAAATAGAACTTCTGGGAGTACTTTCCCCTCAGCCTCAGCTACTAACACACACCCTGCACTCACTTGTATGTGTGTCCTGTGATCTCGTTGCGCACCATCACACAGTCCACCAGCCATTTTGCCAGGAGGCCGGCGTTGTCGTGTCCCAGCTGCACCGTGGTCATCTTCCCCAGGTTCTGACACTAAACACAGCGGAGAGGGAATCTAGTTAATGCAAAGTACTTTAAATAATGTGAAATCCTTCTTAATAAGCTTTGTCAATGTACATCTACAGCACTATCACAATAACTGTTATTACTGCTAAAGTCCTCCCATAACCAAAACAGTGTCACCTTCCAAATGAAAAGGGAATAGATCTCTGTTAATTCAATATAATTGTGTTAATTGATTTAATCCTTGGCAATGAGAATGTGTTGGATTGAAACCCTAATCCTTTTCAATGAGGCTTTCCCAGAATGCACTGGGCTGACATTTCCACACTTAAGTAATTCATAACATTAAGCTACCTTCAATGTTGTTCAATACAATATCTCCAAGTAGTTTTAAGCATTTAGATTTGAGGGTGTGAGAGAAGCTGACATTAAGGTGGTGATCTATACTTAAAGCACTTTCTAACAAGAGAACAGAGCAACGATGACTAAAAGCAAATCAAAAGGGGGCCGACTGCATGACAACAGGGCAGCTGGATGAAAGCATTTCACAGAGACTGATGGAGATGATGGGGGGTGGGTGAGTGGGGGAGGGGCTGCCTCTAACCTTGAACAAGGCGGAGATGTGCATGTGAGGCCTGAAAGTAGACTGGGGGAGACGGAGACACTTGTTAAGACACAATGGGGGGACAATCACAATGGTGGAGTGGTGATTTCAAAACCAAAACAAAGCAGCATCCATCATGCAAACAGAATGAAAATCAGAGGGAACAACATGCAGTGAGAGGAGGCAGCAGATAGGAGCTGATCATGATCATGAGGGGAGGAGGGGGCATTAACGTTATTATGTGTTGGTCAGTTCAACTTTCTGTAAATAGACCTGTGTTCATTTGTATAATCCTAAATAATGTCAACGCATGTCAGTTGGTAGATTGTGCTATGTACGTTTTATTTATAGTCAAAGATAATTCTGATCAAATTCGAACAGATGTTGGAAACAAAGTAACGGTCTATCCAGTAGGTATGGTTGTTGACATGTAAAGTATGTTAGAAATCTCTGTTTCTCCGACGCTGTTTGACCGACACTTAAGTTCATCTGCCGGTTTCTCTTAGAACTTAAGGTCCCATTGACTCAATTCTTCCTCTGGTTAAAATGTATAGATAATAACAACAACAATGTATTGTAAAAATGTGGCTTTAAGTTAGATGAAAAAGTTGATTTGTTAAAAAAAATTGGTATTAGGTAGGTACACAACTAAAAAAGAATATAACATCAAGTCAGGGAAAAAAAAGTGCAAAGATTGTACATAGTATTACTTGAATTGCCATTTAAACGCTACTTTGAGGGGAAACATTTATTAGTAAGACTTTGTATAGCTTGTACGGAAAGTGAATGATGTGCTACAGAAGACCAACCTTCTACTAAACCAGAATGACGCTTTAATGAACGCACACAAGTAAAACTAGCTGTAATCCCTTAAATGTTAGTACTGCTAGCATGCAGTGTGATGGTGTCCCAGTGACAGAGGAGGCACACAGAGTGTAACTGAAACTCACACACAAAAACCCAACGTCACCCAAAGTGCACTCAGAAGACTCCGCTTCAGACTCAGGGTCACAGTACTCACATCGAAGGTCATCTCCAGGACGTTCTTGGGGATCTGCATGATGCCCGAGTCTCCCAGCTGTCCGGAAACACACACCCAGGGGTTGGAGGTCGTCATGGCGTTGCTGAGCTTCTTGATGGGGATGATGACGACTCGATACGGGATCACTGCAGAACAAAAACAAGCATTAAAAAGGAGAGAAACATGCTGATTCCACTCATTATCTAACTGGGTTAATTTCATTATAAGATCCAGATTGAGGCCAGGAGGAAAACAGAATAATGGATCAGATAGTAGAGGGATATTAAATCATCACCTACATGCTCTGTGAGTTGAATAACACATTGTGCTTTAAGTCTTTGGTTAAAGTGTACATACATCCTCGTGGTTTATTCATACTAATAGCTCAGCCTGCCATTGATCCACAATCATCCATGTAGCAGCTGACATTATCAAAAAAAGGAGGAATGACGGGAAGAGGGGTTTCTGAGATATGAGGTTTGATATTTCAAAGGTGGGATGTGGTGTGTTATTTAGATGGTCACAGGACTCACTGATGGTGGTGAAGACGCTGGTGAAGCAGAAGTAGTCGACGGTGTTGAGGGAGAGCAGGTGGAAGAGGAACTGCTCCTTCTCCTCCTCACAGCGCAGGAAGGCGTAACGCTTGTACAGCTTCCTGTAGACACAGAACGTCAGGTCAGGTTAAACAATATCACCGTGAAATATCATCATCTGCCGTTTAAACTCCTGTCTTTATATTTATAGAAATTCTTCCCATGTGTTCCTGTTGAAGTACAAGGTAGCAGGAAAGACAACAATGGAAGGTCAGGACTGATATAGCACTGATCTTTTCCACTTAAAAGAAATAAAACATTTAATTATTTAACTGGACAACAGCAATTCATAAATAATGCTGCAACATTTCCTTTCAGATGGCTAATGCACATCTGGTCCCATATAGAGCAGCCACTATCCCAAGAGAGGGACAAAAAGCCCATTCAGGAGAGGTATAATGATCAAGCTTTAATGTCCAATCTATGAAAGTCTTCACAGGTTTAAAATAATATAAATGTAGTTTGGATTTTCATATTGGTGTGATTGGTTTAAAAATAACGTATGTTTTGGGACAAGCGATGATATAAGTACAGCTGCATCTCAGTGTGTGTGTGTGTGTGTGTGCTCACTTGGTTAAGGCTTGTCGGCACAGCAGCTGTTTGAGGTGTTGTGAGAGCAGCTTCTTCTCCAGGGAGAGACGGATCCAGGCTCTCGCCCGGCCCACATCTGTCTTTATCTCGGACATGCTCTGGATATGCCTGAGGACGCAGACCATGGAGGGACAGAAGAGAGATGGGTCAAGTACAGCCACAATGTATCTAATAATTGTTTGGTCTCTAAAATAAAGTGCCAGAATTCAGAATTTCCCTGCAGAGCAAGTTGTCTTTTATAACATTTTGCAATGAATCCAAGGTACAGATGCTGAATAAAAGGACTACTGTTTGTAGTTAACTTGCAGCTGATTCTGCCATGCCCTTAACCTCAAGTGATCACTACAGGACAGTAACATGTACTGTACCTCATATCCTGTATGAGAGACACGCGTAGAGACGGCATCGCCATGGAACAGTCAGACTTCCTCCTCTCAGGAACATGTGACACTGCAGAAGTAAAATACAGGATATTTTTTATTTGCCTTTGTCAACATTTGATACAACTTTTAAATGGTTAACAGTTTTTGAGGCCAAAATGGGGCCTGCAACAGACTAGTTAAGGCTTGTTTTAGCAGAGCCGTTTGCCAATCACTTGTGGATTGGGATCGCACACACTAAAACACACACCACACAAAATGCATGATCTCCCCACAGGTTTATGCCTTGTGGAGTTTTTAGAAAATGTGTGTGTGTTTGTATTTGTGTGTGTTTGTGTGCATGTGTCCTACCTGGTGACTCCGCCTGCTGCTGCTGCTCCAGCTTCTCCTCTCGGGCATGGTAGTGCAGCATGTGGGACCACAGGGCCGACTTCCCCTGAGACGTGAGAGAACCAAAAATCACGACACACACCAAAGCAGCTACTGATGAAGATTATAATCCCACACGGAGGAATAATCAGGCAATAACCTCGTAGACTTAATATCCAATACGGTCATACAGATCTGATTTAAGCAGTGTGCTTATACACACACAGCACTAGTGGGTGTTTGCCTGCTTTATCATGAATCTGAGGAGATTTGAAATGCAGATGAACAGGTCTGACAAAGTAAGTGTGTGTGTGTGTGAGAGTGTGTGTGTGAGTGTGCGTGTGAGTGTGAGTGTGAGTGTGAGTGTGAGTGTGAGTGTGTGTGTGTGCTGACCTGTTTGACCTGCAGCCCGTGGCTCCAGATCCTCTCCAGTAGGTCACACAGGCTGGCGATCAGAGTGTTCTCCTCCAGCCCAGTGATGGTGGCCTCCCCGTGGCCCAGCTCCACCGCCTCCCGGCCCATCTTCTCCACCAGCATCCGCTTGGTCTGAAAAAATGCATTAAGAAGTTATAAAGTATGCCAAGTGGAATTTGAATATACAATGTAAACCAGTACCAGTCGAGTTTATATGATAGCTATTTATCTTACTTAGACTGACACTATACTGGTGTCAGAATAAAAAACTTTGCATCTTGGATGAAAATCTTTAGTCTGATATTCAGACAATTGAACAGAATAACTTCTATGAGATCTCATTTTGATGAAACCACCTTTGTGTCTCCCTGCATGCATCATTCATGAGAGATGACACCCCTCAGAGCTTTGTTTGTGGGTGTCAGAGGTCAGTGAATGACGGCACTAATGAATCGCTGCTCTCTCTGTGGGGTTTTACCTTCATGCGGCACTCCTTGAGCAGCCCCTCCACAAACTTCCAGTTGGTCTGGGCGATGACGGCGGGCGACAGGTCGGACAGTTTGGGCTGTCGGAGGTTCTTCCCCAAGCTGCGGGCCTCCTGCATGAATTTCTGGAGGTCAAACAGAACCGCTTAGTGAGAACATGTACTCTGATCAGAAAGATATAGAATTAAGAGAAATGCTGGAGTGGTTTTTAACGCAGGTGGAGACATTCCACTTGCTCCTCTTTAACACCACGTGTCAGAAAAGCTTGATCCATCAGACACAGATAGAATTATCAGCTTTTAGTCAACCAGTAAAAACATTTTAAAGAGTGAAAGTAGTGAAAATGCAGCACTTCAAAATAAATATGTGAGTTAATATGAATGGAGGTTACACAGGAGAGAAGTGAGAGCCTGGTTTTTCTCAAAGACACACATACATACAGTAAGGACAAGGACAATAAGATGAGGGGTGGGGGTAAGGGGTTACAGTGTAAATTCAATGTTATGCATGCACACGGCGTTGTATTAATACATGATTTACAACATAGATGTACTTTCATTATTATTAAATAAATAAAAGTATATAATTGTTCTCCGGTTTAAATGAACTTTCTCCATTTGTCTCACTTGTTTGTTTTTTTATGAAGGGGAGCGGCCAAAATGGTTTTAATCCAGGAATGCCCTTATCCTATCCCATAGCAAGTTATCTGGCTTAACCAAATATAACAGGCAGCTTCTTCCATACTTAAGAGGTTCAGAAAATCCTCCAGCCATCAATTTATTGAAGCATTTTGGATTTCTGACTTTCCAGTTCATTAGTTGAGATGCATGCTAGGGCTATGAGTTTTATTCCAAATTTAGATTTGATGCCATTGGGCGTAGATCCCAGCAAGCATGTAGCTGGACTTAAAAGGTACATCTGTATTCAGGATCTCAGCGAGTGTGTCTCCAACTACATCCCCAAAAGAGATATGTAATTGAAACAACTACATGAAATAAAAGACAGCAAAGAGGGTGTCGTTTTTCTCATACTGATATTCTGAACAAACTGTGCTGTTGTATTTGCTGTAAAGTGTCTTTACTGTAGGGTATTTTTATTATATGTACAGCACTTTGGCTCGACCAAAAATCGTTTATAAATGTGCTATATAAATAAAACTTGATTTAATTTGATTTGATTGGATAGGTGTTCACAGAGAGCAGGAGGAGTCTAAACTCAGGTGAAGCCGGCGGAACAGCTTTCTTTGTATTATAAAATACTGTTTAAAATGATTAAACTTCATAACGGGAGTGTTTGATTGCCTCCCTCAGCTTTAAGGAATTACAGGAAAACGATTCATGCATGTAATCCAGTGCAATTGCAATTACAGTACGCCTCACTCTCTTTACACCATATCAGAGTGGGATTAAACTGCTGATGCACACAGAACATCCCATGGTTGAGGCTGCAGTTAGAGGGTCAGGTACGGGGTGGAGGGGTCTGAAACAGAAAGTCCACAACACAGGAAGCTCCTCCACATACCAGGCAGGACGCAGAGGCAGATTTTTTAGGCGGTTTGATAGGCGGAGGGGACGCTTTGTCCCACTCCCAAAACGCCATGGAGTTCTGCAGGACCAGACAGCCCTCCACCTGCTGAGGAGGAGGAGGAGGAGGAGGAAGAGGACCCAACCCCCGACCGACAGGCACGGCACACACGAGCAGACAGGAGAGGAAAGGAACAAAAAGAGAAGAATGGAAAAACAGAAGGCAGCATGCACGTCTTCGAAAAGGAGGAAAAAGAAATCTAGAAACAGTTGCAGAACAAAACTAAAGAATGACACACAAAGAAATGAAAGACATGCTTGTAGAAGAGGGCATTCAGAGGAGAGGTTCTGGGATGGCTGTGAGGAGGGGTCTCTACCTCTTTCAGGTCGTTTTCCAGGCCCAAGTGCTCTGTCTGATGTCTGTGACGCTCTTTCCTTCGCTGAGCTGTCGCTGTCCTGTGAGACCACCTGCAGTTCAGACAAGGGGAAAGAAATGAGTTCTACAAATACTTTAGAGCACTTTGAAATGCAGGTTAACACATTTACATAGTGTCTTCCACTGTGCCATATAGCCTTTGCTGACCATGTACAAAAACCTATATAATAAACTACAGGTAAGAGAAAACCCCCAAAAGCATATTACAATCTTAGCATCAAGACTGGAGGCAGGGGGAAAAGCCTGGATGTTTTTTCTTGGTTTTACTTTCCTGTCGCTGTTTTTCTTGCAAACGGATGAAAGGACAAAGAGACGGGTAGACTAATTCAATACATTTGATTAATGGAGTCATTAGGCTCTTTCAAAGCACACAACCACATACGTATTTTCTTTCCTCCGCTGAATTGTGCCCTTAGAATTGTAGCTTTTAGTGCTTTTTGTAAAACAGCAAGCGAAAGTAGGTTTTCCAGTAAATTAACTAAGCATCACACATGAAGTAACCGTGTTAAAATCAACCCAGCCAGCCTGTAATGGGTTGTTAAGTGCTGTCTTCATCGTCTGGTTTCACGTGTGGATTTCAGTCGCAGGGTGGAAGTGGACTCACTTGTTATTGGTCGGCCCCGTGTTGAGCACGTCGGCCTGCAGTTTGGGGAAGAATCCCTGCTCGTATTTGCCCTGACCGATCTTCATGTCCAGCAGGTGAGGGTGGATGGCTGTGTGGTCGATCTTCATCAGCCGCTGCTCAATGGTCTGAGCTTTAGAGGAGACAGAATCCATTCAGACAACACTCATGTGAAACATTTTATTGACTTTCTGTTAATACACCAGGCATCACCAAATGGCAGAACCAACCTGACAGAAAACTGACCTCTTCTGATAAATTCATGAGCATAAATAATAGTTTTTATTTGATGTAAGCCACAATTCAAACTACTAGCAGGGCAGTCAACCACTCTCACTTTCCGTGTTAAGAAAGGAGTTGGGAGGGGGGGTGTTATTGTTGAATTTGCTGTGCATGTTCAAAAAAGAATATTGAATATTGAGAACCCCTTTTTCTTCTGCTGAAAAATACTTACACACAAATATTCCAAATGTATATTCATGTTAAGGTGTTTGTTATAATTGTACAATGCTTTGGCCCAATGTCATTATGGCCAATCCAATAAAGCTATATGAATTTGAGAGAGAGTGGGAAAATGTTTCCTATTTCTCAGCAACTGACAATAAAAAGAAATGTCGGATGCATTGCGGGAATGTAGCTCAATAATCAGCCAAGTAAATATTGGAGGACAGGACCTGATAACACCCACTGTGTCCTTCACCTTTTGTTATCTTCTCCTAACACGTATACACTACATTAGCAGACGTCTGTCCACAAACTCCTTGTTGTTAATCTGTCTGGGTCTTGTTGCTTTGCTAGAGGATTGAACATGTTGTGCGTGTCTGGAGTGAGCAGTGAGGCGAGGGCGTCGGAGCGAGTCTCCACAGGGGAATGCAAGCGGAGGGAGAGTTTCCTTATTGTCTGTGTAATTGGGTACATGCATGCACCATCGCCCTGAAATAAGCTCACCATTAAATTGCTCGGCTCATTAGCGTGAAACAGTCAGGGGCGCAAGCAGATGACATGTTAGCGTACGCACCAAAGGAACTCACAAATCACTTTGATAAGAGTTACTGTATAAAAAACTGCAAAAACTATCTTTGGTTTGTAATTTTTAAATACACAAGTAAACCTGCAGTCCTGCTCTTTTCCATTCAGTCCCAGGTCTGACCTCCCGCCTCACACTGCACATTCAGCACCAATTAAAAGGCTTAACGAAGGGAAAGTCGAGCAGCACTAATTGATAAAATGACGGGGAAAAAGCCTGAGCAAACATTCCTGCAGTGAGTCTGTGTCAGAGAGTGTGTGCTCGTGCTTGTGTGGGAGAGACTCTGAGTGATGGAGTGTTTGCTGTGCTGGGATGTAGAGACATGATAAGTGTGGTTCTCTGGTCACTGGGGAGGGCTGGGATGCTTCCAGACAACACATGGGAGACAAGATGGGAGGAGCAGAGAGATGGATGCAGAGTGTTTGTGTGTTGCACGACACAGTACAACTTTGTCTGTTTATGGACGATCAGTATGATTTGAAGGACGGACAACATGCTACTCAATGAGACTACCATTCTCCCCGTCTGTGTGTAGGTCTCCCCAGCGACTTTTGTTCCAAATGAAATCGTGAATCACATGAAATAAACCTAATCCATCATGTTGGACGTCTTTCTGCTGAGCTTACCAGACTCCTTGAGGATGGTGCACCTCTGGTAGCTGGAGGAGCGCAGGCTGGGAGCGCGGACGTTGAAGAGGCGGGCCTTGTCGATGCGAGCGTCAAAGACACGCAGCAGCGGCTCCTTGTCCTCCCACTGGGACATGATCTTGTTGTCAATGAAGGTCGCAAACATCTGCGTCTCGATGAAGTGGGAGAGGAAGGGCAGGTAGGGCTCCGGCTGGTCGGACAGGAACGAGGCCTGGAGCAGGGAAAAACACAAGGGAGGAGATGCAGAAATACATGTACGGTCAATTTTCTAATATTTAGTTCAAAGGTGTTATTGTCATAAGCTACAGTGTAGAAATGGTAATGAAATTCTTCTGACCCGAGCTCCTCCAACAATGCAACATATATAATAAAAAACATAAATACAAATAAACAATAGTGCAAGAAGTAAATGTAAATAGAATATGATATGTACAAGAACAGAATATGAAATTAAATGATGTAAATTAAGACAAAATTAAATACGGTTTATTGCGTTGATAACTATTTATATAAATAAGTAGATTGCAAGATGACAAACAGATGAACAGATGAATGTTTATCGGGGCACTCAGGTGTAAATAGTCTTAATGCCTGTGGGATGAAACTGTCCCTGAGTCTGGTGGTTTTACTCCGGATGCTGCGGTACCGCCTGCCAGACGGTGGCAGACAGAACAGTTTGTTGCTGGGGTGATGGGGGTCTTTTATAATTTTGTCTTTTGTGCTTGATTTCCTCACCTTGTCAAAGTTGTGCATCTGCTCCCTGTTGGTGAGCCACGACTCCAGGTCCGGGGCGCTCTGGATGACGAAGGCTTCGTAGTCGGCAAACATGGTGGTGAAGCGGCTGGCGCACACCTCCCTCAGCTGGACGTTCAGCTTGGCGTTCCTGAGCTCTTCCTCTTCGGCTGCTGTCCGGCCCCCCTGTCCCTCAGTCAGCTGAGCTTTGACTCCGGCCCTCAGGGCGTCCACGCGGGCCACCGTCACCCCGGTGCGCTTGGTGAGCGCCTGCAGTCTCTCCAGGGTGGCGTTCCCCTGCAGCAGCTCCAGCACAGCCAGCTCCTCCCCTGCCAGGTTGCCGTTACGCCCGTCGTCCTCCAGCTGCCGGAGAGCGACCGTCTTGCGCTCCCTTCCAGGGGTGGAGGGGGTGCTGCCTGGAGCGCTGCCGGGGCTGGTGCGAGTCCGAGGAGGAGCCCCTGTGTTAGCGGAAATGCCATAGCTAAGCAGCACCTCACTTAGCTCCTGGATGAGCTCAGTCTTATTGGGGAAATTGGGAAAGTCCTCTGGAAGTTCGATGTAGTGGTTGTCAATGTCCACAAAACACAGGTTGGCCTGGAAAAGGAAAATATATCAATATTACAACAATATGCAATATATTACAGACTTTCTTTCGTTCCAAAAAGCTAACTCAAATCTTTCTATCTTTACTATCAAAGACAGAAGAGGAAATATGGAAATTCAACATTTAATTTGGGTGCCAATGAGGACGTAGAGTGAGCCCAGATACATGAGACGGGTATTATGAGGACGCATATTGAGGACAGATTGGTTTAGGAGGTATGGTGGGGCTGGGAGATGTCGAGAACAGAGAATGTAGGTCAGTGTGTGATTGATAATAGCACATTGTCGGAGATCAAGCTAAATCTGATAATGGAGTTAGCATCACACCATCATATGGGATTAAAGTAAGACCTGATGACACTCTAATCCACTCAAAAACCCCAGAAATAGGAATGCGCTTCGGTATGTGTGCAAGGAAAGACACAGAAAATAGAAGTGATAGAAAACCTCCAGATTGACCTGAGGATGACGGACCCCAAAAAAAGATTGTCATAGCTATATTTTCAGAACATTGAACCACTATAACTGCTGAAAAACAAACCATAAAACACTTTTTACATTAAAGTTCTTAAATCTGGGTCTGGTTAGACTCAGATACTTTTACTTTTGTTCAAAAATAAAAACTAACACTAAACAAAGTCGAGGAAAATCTTCATATCACAAACCTTTTCATCCACAGTGAAGTTGCCCTAGTTTAAATCTAAAGCCCACTAGAAATACGTGAGTATGAGAACACATGATAGATGATAACTGTGCCACATAATATATTCTGCAATAAAAACATAAAAACGGTATAATTTAATTTGAAAAAGCCTGGTTTGAACCGGGTTCAGAAAGGCAAATCTTGTCTGACATTAATTCCCCAATTATATCCACAGTCTCTCTCATCGCGTCCTCTCTGCTTTGCTCCAAGCCATTCTTTCATCACCAGCCCATTTCTGGGTCACAGCCACTTCAAAGGAGCATTGGGAAACACAGAGAGATACAGCAGTGTAAGGGGGACCCCCTATTCGGGAGGCGGCGGGGGGACAGACGAGCTTGTGGATGTACTGCTGCAGCATCCATGCGTTGGCTGGCATAATTAGCATCCACACAGACAGTTCCGGATTAACGAGGGCCGGGAGTCAGGGGATGTGAGCAAAGCCGGAAGCCTGGATGTTACGCTTTGTTGGGGCCTTATCTTGCTTTAACACATGAACACACACTCACATTAACTGTAACCCTGAATCGGGCTAAATACTGGTTTAAATCCAGAGCCCATTCAACTCCTCTCTGTCTGACAAATGGTGGGGTTGAAATAAAAAGGCAAGAAGAATGCCGAGACTGAAATCCACCTCAAACTCACTTAGCCTTGAGGTTCAACTTTAGACAAACACAAGGTAAATCCCAGTCCTATTGTGTGTGTTCGTGGAGGTTGTTTAGAACAGAGAGGGTTTTTTCTTTTGCCATTTCCTGTCTCTCTGAACCGGAGACTGGTAGTCTGCCTGGGGGTGTGGGTGTGTGTGTGTGTGTGTGTGTGTGTGTGTGTGTGTGTGTGTGTGTGTGTGTGTTGGCCTTGTATTGTCAGCAATAATGAGCACAGATTGCAAACTGCTGCAGCTAGTGCATGCACACACTTGTTTACTATACTTGTGGGAGCCTTCTATTGTTTATTTAGCGGTTGCAAAATAAGTTTGGTTGTGTAGGAGTCCAATAAAATAACCCAACATCTCACTTGATTTAGTTACTTTAGTAAATCATTTCCCGATGAGTTTATGGTATCAGTAGCTAGTTTCAAGTCTTCTTTATTCCAGCATGGTGTTCATTTTGTATATAATGGGTCCAATTAGAGATAAATAGAGGACAAAGGGAGTTTAGGAGGTGGCTACCTTGTGATTGACAGGTTGCTACTGGTGCATGGCTCTCACAGCAATGTTCAGTGTTTTTTTGGAAGACACTTATTAGTTGGCTATTTTTTTTTTTTTTACGGTAAATACATTTGGAGCATGTTTTAAACTAGCTGAAATTAGCATCCCAATCAAGATGCCTTTATCAAACCAGAATAGCAATAGCCTTAGCTGCCAGGGCTACATATCGCCACCTACCCAAGCTATTCTTTTCAATTCAGGCTCCAAAGCGACATTTAGGGATTTATAATGGTAGTCTACAACAGATCCCATGCATTCCACCTTGAGTTCTATTGTAGTGAAATTGCTTTCCACACTTGCAGTTGTTAATACAAAGCCTGGAGGTAGAGTAACAATCCACAGGTTGTCTGTACCTCCTGAGGAAGCTCCAGTGTGGAGCGGTCTGTGCCCTCTTTGGACTGCAGGCCCATCAGGTAGGGAACCGGAGCATCCAGGAAGTGGAGCAGAGAGGCCGGCAGGATGGGAACATAGACGTGCTGCCACTGGAAGGGAAACAGCAGGGTGGTGATGCCCTCTGCCACCGTCATCAACCGCTGGTAGTCTGAGAGGAGGAAGAAAGCAATGATACGAGAGAATTAATCAATGATGGGATTTCAGCAGAAATGTGTTTTGCAGTTACACTAGAACCACATAAAACAGATAAGCAATGGCTTATATTCAGATGGTTACACGCATATGTGAAATTGCATATGGAAGAAAGCGTGTTGTGTGCTTTCAATAAACTCTTTATTGCACGGTACAGACTCTCAAACAGAGAAGCAGGAGTGGGGGAGAAAAGGTAAGAGGTTTATGAAACACACATATATAGACATTGAGAGTATTGATGTGCAAGAGAGGCTTTACTCAAGTGATTTAAATTGAATCTGAGAGTGAGTTAGGGTTAAACACAAAAGGAATTACATTCTGTTATATTCTTTTCAATCATGTTTCCGTGTGTGTGTGTGTGTGTGTGTGTGTGTGTGTGTGTGTGTGTGTGTGTGTGTGTGTGTGCTGCCTCTGTTCTCTAAAACAGATTAAGGCCAGTGGTTGCAGGCTGGCTTCTGTATTGAATCCAACAGCAGTTTCATCAGATGTTATTGTCATGGCCAGAGTGAAAAGCCTGCACGACCTTGAGGAAAGATAAAATAATAATAAACCAGGATAGAGTTAAACCCCCCACCCTCCTTTCCTTTCGATTGGTCTAGTTCAGTCTGAATGTGCACATATGGAATCTGTGCACTTTCATTGAAAATGCATTAAGCTCTCCAGTGCAACACACCACCATGATTTATATTCAACAGGAGAAATAGAAAGAAGACATGCCAGTCCTGCTCCTGCTGTAAGTCTGTATTTACTTTCTCCAAGTCTGAACAGGTTCAAACACACACCTCTCTGTGGGAAACGCAGCATTGGAGTCTGACTCACTTCTGTTTCCTTTTCATTTCACATCAAATCCAACCTGTTCCCCCACAAGCTCACATCACGCCAGGATACGTTTATCCTCAGCTGGCTTCATTTTCACATCGCTGTTATACTGTAACCAGAAATGCCTCTAAAAGAGCTTCTCCTCGGAGGTATCCTTTCACACCTCATACATTTGACCTCGCCTCATACTGAAATGAAAGCCCACACAGCAAGACCTCAAGGGGAATAACCACGAGATGATAAGGACAGAATTTAACAGTGACTGATTTCATGTTTTCCACTTGCTAGTTAAACTAAAGCATGAATTTTGTTCTCGTTTGAAATATCTACGGGTGTTTCTTGCTAAAATTCACTTCTGACAACGCCAAGAAACTCCCTTTGAAATGTTACAAGTACAAGAGTCTGTGAAAGGTGAGCAAGCATGTCATTATCTTTAAAGGAATAGAGATCTGATATGGGGAAGCATAGTGCTGCAGAAAGCCCCAGCAGAGACGCACAAGGCTGCTGGAAAACAGGACAGGACATGTCGAGTCATTGTGAAACTGTAATCAGGGCCAGATAAACAAACGCACACGGTGCCACAAGGTACTGTAGGAAGCAAGCTGTGGGTGATAACATCTGACAGTAGGTGTTCTTCAAATGCAGAGATGGTAAATATAAGTTTAGCTGCACTCTGATAATGCTGTGCTTTAAGAAAAGAGTCAGATGTTTTGAATGAAGACAAGAAAGAAATTGAAATGAAAAGAGGTCAAGGGAAGCATCTTATTATATTACCAATCAAAGAAACTAGAAATGACTGATATTTTACTGAGTGGAAACTGGGGTCAAGCCACAATATCAGAAGTCTAAATTGTGGAAATGTTTCATGTATATGTATTCGGCATCTATTGCACGTCTGTCCGTCCTGGGAGAGGGATCCCTCCTCTGTTGCTCTCCCTGAGGTTTCTCCCATTTTTAAACTGTGGGTTTTTTCTCTGGAAGTTTTTCCTTGTACGATGTGAGGGTCTAAGGACAGAGGGTGTCGTTTTCTCATACTGATATTCTGTACAAACTGTGCTGTTGTATTTGTTGTAAAGTATTTTATTGCATGTACAGCACCTTGGCTCGACTAAAAATCGTTTTAAAAATGTGCTATATAAATAAAACTTGATTTGATTTTGATTTGATGTAGTAAGCCTTAAATGTGACGAAGAATATTGATTTGACATTAAAAGGGATCACTTAATCCCAATGACCACCATCTGTAATATTGAAGTTAATAGAGGAAGCCCGTTATATGCTGCTATAAAAGCCAACTACACATGCAGTATATGACAATTATTTTGCACATTTCTTCACAAAACTACCACTTTAAAAACAGCAGAGCTCTTCCATGTGTATATTAAAATCAGAATACTTCATTTATCCAGAGGGACAATTAGGTTTTCGGACAGTTGCTGGATTTAGATTAAAAAAAAATACAAAGATAAAATAGAATAAAATATTAATATAAATATGAGATATTAAAGTTAAAATAAAAATAAAATAGAATAAAATATTTAATAGAATTTAAGAATCAATGTAAAAATGTCTAGATTGTACTGCAAATGCAATAAAAACTGATATACTACACGTCTTTCATTTCCCAGTAATGACTCATATTTGTGATGTAATTATTTTTTGGTGTCTACATTAGTATTTATTCTCCAAATCCCTCTTTAAAAAAAAAAAAATCGTATCTTATTTACACCCTCATTTCTCTAACTGGTTTATCTATGAACCATTATACACCAAAGGAAATTCCCGGTTGGCAAAAAAACAGATTCTTATCACTCCTCTGTACACTGATTACCATATAAAGACATTCCTGCAGGCCCCCCCCCCCCCCCCCCCCCCCCCCCCCCACCCCCCACTGTGCACCATGATAGGCGGAGACACTCGCCTGTCACTTTCCATCCCTAGCCTCCATCCCTCATGGTGTCATTTGTTGTTGATTGATAATGAGGAGCGTGGGAACATATGGCGGAGCAGCATCTCATTATGCAGGGACCTTCCTCTCTCTCTCTCTCTCCCCTGAAGTGAACCCCTCCATCACCTGCCTCCATCCTAATGACGCTCTGTGCAGGTACTCTTCACCTCAGTACGGAGAAACAAGAGCTCATTAGGAAAGACGTGTCGCACAGTCAGAGCACCCGCTGAATGGCAATGGGGATTCCTGATAAAAAAAAATTATAAACACTTGAATCAAAAAGGCATGAATGCAGTCTGGTTTTAATCAATTCCCTCCAGGGGTGACTGCCTTTGACGCTGACAGTGATGAATAAAATACTGAGACCCAATTTCCATCAAACGGCTATGGAGAGGAGCAGCAGGCGTGGATGTTTTCACGGCCAATTGAGACGGCTTCAGTTAACATTTCTAACACTACTCTGCCTCAGATATCTCTGAATTAAGAAGATGCACAGTCTTAATTCATGACATGTTTGACCGGTTTTTCTTTTTCTTTACATTTTGTTCTCTAGCGTTCATTGCAGTTACTGATTTTCAAAGTTAAAAAAGTACAGATAGGCTAACAGCATCATAACTCCAGCTCTGTACGCAATCATCTTTTTGCTTGACTCTAACAATGAAAGCAAATAGGAATCACACATCTCTATCAAATAACATATAGCTGCCCCTTTGTCACGTTGCATGTTTACTTGCAGTACAGTGCAGAGCTATACAGTCGGCAAATCAGATTACAATGTCTAATCCTTAACCCATTGTATCATTACAAGCTGTATGTACAGAGACACAAAGGCCCAGGGCTCTATTAGGTAGAGACGGAAAACATGCATAGTAAGTAGAAGAAAGACAAAATGGTTTGAGAGCTTTGAGTTTTAAGTCCTCTCAGATGCGAAAAAGTCTAACCCGCAATTATTAATAAGATGATAAGGGATTTAAAAACTCAGGTTATGAAGGGGTCAAACCAATACCTGCATTAGAGCATCGGCAACTACCACAATATCAATATTGACTGAACACAGATTTTAAAAAATGGGTAAAATCTTGGCTTTTCATGCAGCAGTCATTTCACTCGCTCTGCACCACAGTAGTTACATGACTCATCCGGCTCAGAAGATAATAAACAGAAAGTGTTACAGAGTGTGCCCCCGCCTGGATGAGTGAAACTGAGAAAGAGTAGGACGGAGGAATGTAGAACTAAAGGTGATCTCAGGTCAGAGAGCAGTGCAAAGTAGCTGCTCTTAGTGTGAGATCCTACAGCAGTGCCTCACTGTGAATAATGGATGAGGGGAACCCTAGAAGGAGGAAAATCTGATCACAGTGCATCTCAGATTCCCTCATCTGTATTTTAAGATAGTTTGAGATGCATTTCTCAATTTTACTTCGCCTCCAAGCAATCAAGTTTAACTAAACAATCTTTAGGAGTTTTTGCTGCCTCAGCCTGCCTCTACATTTCAACAAAACCTATACACTGAGAATTCAAAATAGTCAACGACCCCTATATTGAATGCACTGCAAATTGTGCAAAAGGAATGACTTACGAAAACTAAAACAACATATTCTCTTATATAGTCTTCATCATAAGGTTGTGTATTAACTGTGTTTCTAGCAGATGCTTTAGGGTATAAAGTGGTCTAAAAAAAACTATATAACACACTACAAGAAATGGAAAACCCAGAGAAGCTAAGTAGGGTTCCCTTTATTACATGTACAGCACTTTGGTTCGACCAAAAATCGCTTTTAAATGTGCTATATAAATAAAACCTGATTTGATTTGATTTGACTTTAAGAGCAAATAAATAGAAATTAAGATTCAATTATCAGTGTCATTGCTATTTTGAAATAGCATACCGCAAAAACATACAAGCGTGTGTACAGATAAGTTTGACAATGCTGAGTACAAGTTTAATTTCCTATGAACCTGACCTTATTTAACAGCGTCCTTACCGTGTGAGTAGAGCAGGATCTGCATCTCCAGCAGCGTGCAGGTGAATACCTGGACCAGGTTCTCCACTCCCAGCAGACTGAAGGCCTCGGCCAGGGGGAAGTCGGCCAGCTGCAGCTCCCCGAGCCCCGGCCTCTGGCACACAATGGGCTCGTACACGCCGTGGAACTTGAGCGAGCGTCCCGGGGCGGGCAGCGGCACCTCGTACAGGATGTTGTGGACGTAGCTCTCCAGCGGCAGCGGGGGGGCGGTGGCTGCCGTGACGGCCCTGTGCATCTGGGACAGGAAGCTGCGGCAGGCGTGCATGAAGGGCATGGGCGTGATCAGACACAGGGCCTTGGAGACGTAGAGGGTGTCCCGCGATGAGTCGTAGCTCCCCGCCCTGCGAGACAATGAAGACGCGGGGGAGTCGGCCTCGTCCAAACTGCTGGCCAGGGAGTCCATGCTGGAGGAGGAGGAGGAGGAGGAGGAAGGGGTGTTGGCGGAGGTGCTCTCTGCATTGTGCATTTGGGTGAGGGTCTGCATGGCGGAGCAGATCTGTGGGCTGGTCACCTCCTCGTAGAAGGTGTGGACGAAGCCGTAGGTCCGAGAGCCGTCCTCCCTCGTGATGATGAAGGAGTGGAACTGAGGCGTCCGCTGGTCCGCCTGCGTCCTGAACGACAGGCCTTTAGGCATACACAGCTGCAGGGAGAGAGGGGGGGGCACAAATTAATCATGCAGCCGTAATTATAATTCCTAAACCATCATTTCAAAGTACAAATGATAATGTGTGTTATGCGTTCACAGAAACACTCCAAATCCACATACATTTTGGTTATAAAAAACACAGTCAGCACATCCTGCAATACATCTGAATTATTAGCCTGATTATGTTTATTTGGCTGCTGAGAGCCAGCCAGGAGCTGACTGCACACGGAGCCAACACACAAATGTAAATGTGTTCATGCTTACTGCTCTGCCACCACATACATATTTATGAGCATTCACAAACATTTATATTCATACGCACCATTACTGATATAAACATTTGAAACATTCCACCCAGTTCTTCCTCATTTATGAACATTCTGTCTTTACAGGCAGCAAATGAAACAAACACACACACAGGCCGGGTGATGTGATTGGATTATGCATGAGTCATGTGTCTCGCTGATCAGTACTGACAGATCCTCTCGCCCCCATTCACAGTCTGTGTCTAACATAAGTCTTTACCACAACCACGTTTTTTTAGTTGCGTTTGTGGAAAACAATAACATTTCATACGGTTCCCTTCTGAGCCCCGCCGAGCTGAGGGAGGTTAACAGAGCGGTGAGGAACAACGAGGCGAAGGAATTTAGCTTTGTTATAATGTATCGACTCGCCGCCTAATCAGGGGCGCGTTCAGAATCAGTGAGAAGAAACAACCAGGCTTCAGGAGAAACAAATATAAATCTGACCTCCATCACAAAATGACTGTTTATGTTGCTTGCATGAAAAAGGATAAGCACCATAGGAGCAGAAGACAGTGAGTATGATTGATTGTGTACAGTGCAGCTTTATCAAAGATGTATCTGTCGGTAGAGGTTAACTGGAGCTTTCCAGGAGCAAAAGAAGATGATCCTGTGAAGTGATTGTGTCTGATCCATCACTGTGCTGTGGGGGGAGATGGGAAGTGTGTGTGTTTGTGGGGATGCTAGGTAGGCTTCCCAAAGTCTTAGTATTCAAGGCAAAATATTGTAATTAGTATAAATGATTATGAAGCAGCCAGCAGTGTTTACAATCAGTCTCCATTAATTATTCTTCAGGTAGAGACGTGACCCAATTAGGGCTGCACAGAAGGCTGAACGGGCGTTATGCACAAATACTCCTACACACACGCCATTTGCAACTGTTTTATCTAATCAGAGGAATTGTTGGAATCTGCTACAGAGGCATAACAACATGTGTGAATGGAAGGCCTTGAAAATGGTTCACAGACAAAAAAATGACTTAAAAAACAACCCCAAGAACATTTGTGTCTTTGTGTGTGGCTGTGGGTGTTGGGGTTTGAAAGCAATCATCACAGCATCGTTACCTCCCATCCTCCTCCATCTCTCACCTCACAGAAGGAGAAGGAGGAGGAGATGGGATCTAGAGAGGAGAGGATGATGGGATGAGTGGGATGAGAGGAATAAGAGGGGAATAAGAGGGGCTGTGTTGGTCATGGAAAGAGAGAAGGATGCAGAATGTCTCTCAGCCTCCATCCTCAACAGCTCGCAATCATCCCGGTGTCGGGTTTCGGCCCCGCAGTGCTGCATAATGGGCCCTCAACCATGGCAACGAAAGGCGAGAACCCAGGCTGAATTATTCAGCGATGCTGACGCCAGGGCCGATGGAAAAATATGCGGTGACCACGAGAGAGAGGGAAACACAAAGCCCCCGCTTTGGTTTTCCCTTGACAAGGTCACCCACTGTACTGACAGTTTAACACCTGCAGCAGGGCGCCATTAACGGTCACACTTTTCAAAAATGAATTCAAGGACTTCTCAAGGTCTGGATTTGTGAGAAATGTTTGACATTTATGTATTCGTATGTATTTTTGTAACCATGTACCTAAATCAAAACTACATTCCATATGGAATAATGACATTTAAACCCTGTCCAAACCTCACATCCACTGAGTCGAAATATAAAAGCTGCAATGTCCTTTGTTTCCCCCCCAAAGAAAATGGTACGATCCACCTACCATGTTGACAGCATCCTGATCGAAGGGGTTCCACTCCAGGTTCTCCGGGTAGCGCGCCAAAACTTTGGACTTGAAGGTTCTCTTCAGAGGACTCTGCTCAAGGTTCTCACCTGGACAAGAGAAGATAGAGACAAAGACAATGATGTGGCAGAAACACAAAAGGTCAGCATTATATCTACCTGTAGGTATCTAGATCACCAGCCTCCAATGTAAGACAATATGTAATATATTCATAGGAAGCTTTAAATATCTATTTGTCAAACTTTTCCATGTTAACCCAGTTTCTATGAATGTTGACATTGTGACTATTTGATGTGTAATGTTGCTGTTTATAATTGAATGTTTCTGGTGGGTTCAGAGAAAGTGGAGGATGAGCTCATGTTCAGTTTATGTCATTGACAGCCTCTGACTGCATGCCTGAGATTCCTCTCTGTCAGCAGCTGGACTGCACTACAATCCCCCCCCCCCCTCTCCCCCACATCAACACACACCTCACTGGACACTCACACACTACTGTGAGGTTTTAGTCACACAAACAGACCTTTCCTCACTTGAGTCAACCTCCAATAAAATCAGAGACCTATTCATTATAATCAGCATATTCAAGTTTGAAAATCGACTTTAAATCGAAGAAGTATCACTGCACCCGCCTGAGGAATGTTCTGATTATGGGAGACCTATGACACAAATGGAGGAGTCTCCACTGCCCGTCACCCCCCCTGTCAACGTCTTTGAGGATACTCTTCATTCATCCCCCAGCTCTCTCTATTCTCCGCTCACCCTTTCACCCTCGCCCTCCCCCCTGGAGTTCGATGACCGCATGAAGGCGATATGCAGGGTTGGCAGCATGTCCTTTACCCCCGCCCCTCAACAACGCCCACCAAAATCACCGAAGACAAGCCTACGTCAACCACCTCCCCCCCCCTGGCAGCATGTCCATTACCCCCGCCCTTCCACAACGCCCACCAAAATCACCGAAGCAGAGACGCGCACCATCTCCCCCGTCTTCATCACCGTGCCTACGTCAACCACCTCCCCTCCCTTCAAGAAAGCATCTGCAGTCTCCGAAGCCTGATAAGGATGTGTGTGTACAAAACGCAACAAACTATTTCTGATATGTGCTGGGTCCAGGCTCAAGGGCATATGGCACTCAACTCTTTCCAGCACATGCCGGGGCCCTGCCTGCCAGTAGCTTTGCCGATATCTGTGTTGATAGGTAATAGATTAAGAGCGGTAAATCAGCTTAGAAACAGGAAGTGCTCAAACGTTTGTGTGAGGTTATCAAATTTAGCAGTGATTCCATGTCAGCCACAGCTTGTCACAAATGTTTTTACTGATAGTGTATTTAACAAACTTAAACTAGCTTTATTAAATGTCAGGTCTTTGGCAGGAAAAACATTTTTAATCAATGATTTTATCACTGAGCACAATCTCGATTTTATGTTTTTAACGGAAACTTGGATTGAACAAAATAACAGTGCTGTTCTTATCGAATCAACCCCTCCCAACTTTAGTTTTATGAGTCAGGAAAGAATGCATAAGAAAGGGGGTGGAGTTGCTATTTTGTTCAATGATTCCATTCAATGCAGGAAGACATCTTATGGGGACTTTGCTTCTTTTGAATATGTGGCCCTTCAGCTGAAATGCTCCTCTCGAGCTCTGTTCCTAAATATCTATAGACCACCCAAATACTGTGCAAGCTTTTTTGATGATTTTACTGAACTGCTGTCTATAGTGTGTATTGACTTTGACCGTCTAGTCATTGTTGGTGATTTTAACATCCATGTTGACAACCCCCAGGACAGAGGGGCTAAAGAACTGTTTTGTGTTCTTGATAACTATGGACTGACTCAGCATGTGGCAGAGCCCACGCACAATAAGGCCCCGGCTCCACGAGGACGAAAACGGGTTGAATCCGCATATTTCTCATGCGTATAGCCCTCTAAGCTCGACGACGCCGTAAGGGAAACGTAGAAACAGACCCCGCAAACGACAACGGGTCCAAAGGTGGATAGATCTGGGAACGGAGCGCTCTGGGGGGTCCAACGGGGCCGTGGAGTCGCCTATACGGTCATTCGTTTTCATAGCCCCGCCTCTCCCCCGCAGGGTTGCTATCGTGCTCCAGTCGCTACTGACCATGCTACAGTTCTTTGTGCAACATCTACAGGAGCTCCTCCTTGAATTCAGATTATTTATCTTTATCTCGATATGGACATAAACGCGAGTGAAGTCTAATCTGACAGGACGGAGACACGCAGCTCCTGCCGCTGTGATGCAGCGGGAGCAAAACACACAGTTCAAGTCAGATCATCACCCTTAGCTATTTTAATTACCTCTCAAACTACCTAAACTAGTTATAAATATGTTCATTTTTACTGTCGGGTCACTCATTACAGGATCAGCTGCTGCATGAGACAGACACTGACGCTGTCAGAAGAGAGGAAAAAGAGACAGGCTCCGTGTTTATTTGATGATTATATATCATTATATCGTCGTTATTCATTTGTTTTAAAGCTCAATAAATAACAATGAAGACCTTTGACCGGCACTTTTATAATTTTGTCTGGAAGATTTAAACTTTAACACACGCTGACCGGCGAAAAACTCTGCCCGGTTCTGTCGGCCCCCACCGCGGAGAATACACAGAAGTGCAGCCATGACAACCATTCTTCTTCGCTGCTTTTGTGGAGGAAGTTGCTGCTTTTGTGGAGGAAGTTACAGCGCCACGTACAGGTTTGGCATATGTACTGCAGCTTTTCCAGCGTTTGGATGTAAACGGAGCCGTCTCGTGGAGCTTGACACAATCCGGTGTATATTGCGTGGGGACGGAAGGTTTTTTGCGGTTGCATTTGCGTTACTCCGATGCGTTTTGCCGTATTTGTCCTCGTGGAGCCGGGGCCTTAGGGGCACACTCTGGACTTAATTATCTCAAAGGGTCTGAATATCTCAAAGGTTGTGGTGACTGATGTTGCACTCTCTGATCATTCCTGTGTTTTCTTTGAGAGCTCTATTTCTGTTCACAAAAATGTTCAGAAAGAGGTAACCACAAAGCGATATTTAACTGAAAATACTAGGGAAATGTTTACTCATAATTTTTCATCCACACTCTCCCCTGCTAACATCTCAGTAAATGAGCTAGTAGATCATTTTAATTCAAAAATTAAAAATGTTATAGATACCATTGCTCCAACTACGGTAAAGGAAGTGATTAGCAAGAAAATATCTCCATGGAGAAAGGCCATGACCGTGAGAACAGAAAAAAGAGAGTGTCGAAAAGCTGAACGTAGGTGGCGAAAAACAAATCTCCAGGTTCACCTTGAAATCTATAAAGAGAGACTTGGCCTTTATAATTTGGAATTGAAAAACGCACGACAGTCTTTCTTCTCTGACATCATTACCAAAAACAAAAACAACGCACGTGCCTTGTTTGCTACCGTCGACAGACTAACTAACCCCCCAGTGTCAGTAGCCTCTGAATTTCTATCCACCAGGGCGTGCAATGATTTTGCCTCCTTCTTCACTGACAAAATTCAGAAAATTAGACAAGCAGTCAGTGCCTCTGCATCAGGTACAGCAAATGTGTTGTCCCTATGTCCACCTAATATCAATTCAAACACCATGACACAATTCCATCAGATTAATGGTAAAAACTTAGAGGACATTATTCAACTTCTGAAATCCTCCTCCTGCTGCCTTGATATTATTCCAACAGGATTTTTCAAAGATGTTTTTCCTTGCATGGCCTCAGATCTACTTCATATAGTAAACACATCTCTTCACTCAGGTGTTTTTTCCAGAGGCCCTGAAAACTGCAGTCATTAAACCGCTCTTAAAAAAAGAATAATCTAGATGCTTCAGTAATGAACAATTACAGGCCAATATCAAACCTGCCATTTCTAGGTAAAATCATTGAAAAAGTTGTATTTCAACAGTTGAGTAACTTCTTGCATTTAAATAACTGTTTCGATGTGTTCCAGTCAGGATTTCGTCCAAACCACAGCACTGAGACTGCTCTTGTAAAGGTCTTCAATGACATCCACTTAAACACAGACAGTGGCAGAACTTCAGTGTTAGTATTATTAGATCTCAGTGCTGCGTTTGACACTGTTGACCACAACATATTACTAGACCGACTAGAAAACTGGGTGGGACTTTCGGCAACAGTTCTAAATTGGTTTGAGTCCTACTTAAAGGACAGAAAAAACTTTGTTTCTATAGGTAAATACACATCTGAGTTGACAAATATGACATGTGGGGTACCTCAAGGCTCCATCTTGGGGCCTCTTCTCTTTAACATCTACATGCTACCACTGGCTCAGATAATGAAAAACAACAAAATAAGTTACCATAGCTATGCGGATGACACACAAATTTACGTAACAATTTCACCAGGAGATTATGCTCCAATTCAAACACTGAGTAAGTGCATTGAACAAATCAATGACTGGATGTGTCAGAACTTTCTCCAATTAAACAAAAATAAAACTGAGGTAATGGTTTTTGGAGCCAAGGCAGAACGTATAAAAGTTAGCGCTGAGCTTCAGTCTGCAATGTTCAAAACAACAGATAAAGCCAGAAATCTAGGTGTAGTCATGGACTCTGACCTGAGTTTCAACAGTCACATTAAAACAGTTACTAAATCAGCCTACCATCACCTAAAGAACATATCTAGGATTAAAAGACTAATGTCACAGCAGGATTTGGAAAAACTTGTCCATGCTTTTATCTTCAGTAGACTCGACTACTGTAATGGTGTCTTTACAGGCCTCACTAAAAAATCTATTAGAAAGCTGCAGCTAATTCAGAACGCCGCTGCTCGAGTCCCCACTAACACTAAGAAAGTGGATCACATCACTCCTGTTCTGAAGTCCTTACACTGGCTTCCTGTGTGTCAAAGAATAGATTTCAAAATACTGCTGCTGGTTTATAAAGCTTTGAATGGTTTAGGCCCAAAATACATGTCTGACCTACTGCTAAATTATGAACCATCCAGATCTCTCAGGTCTTCAGGGACTGGTCAGCTTTCTGTCCCCAGAGTCAGAACTAAACATGGTAAAGCAGCATTCAGTTATTATGCTCCAAATATCTGGAACAAACTCCCAGAAACCTG